TGCCACCCCTGCATCCAATGATTTAGTGACCTGGTCGTAAAAGGCCACCAGGTTGGTCTGACAGGACCTGCCGCTGATGAACCCGTGCTGGTTGCCCCTGAGCATGCCGTTCCCTGCTGGCCCCTCCTGGATGCGTGCCAGAATAATTTTCTCAAACAGCTTGCCCAGGATCGAGGTAAGGCTGACTGGCCTGTAGTTCCAGCCCAGTGCTGGTTTGCCGTGGCCATGTTCTGTTTGTTTTCACTTTTGCTGCAGGAGGCCTGTCTGCAATGTGCTGAGCGCTTCCCGCAGCCGAGAGGGCTGGGGTGGAAACAGCTAGCCTAGCTGGGCAGCCCTGCAGCACACTACAGGTCTGGATTCAGGAATAACAGCAGGTCTCTAAAGCCATTTGTAGACGTGCTCACCATTTTCTAAACCATGTTAACCAATTCAAATCGCACAATTCAAATCAAACTTCAATTCAAATGAAAGGTTAATAGATGATCACTGACAATCGGGGGGAGGTTTTCCAGCATTTCTGCACTTCAGGGCCACAAAACTACACTCACTTGCTACACCTGGCAATGGGAATGGGCAACTTCAAGCCCTAAATACCAGCTGTATGAAAACATTGATTAACACAGTTTAAACTGCCTAGTTCAGACTGCTATAGTCTGTATTAACTTTAACCCTCATTCAGCGCGGATTAGTTAATTCAGACTGGAGCCAATTTTAATTCAGACTACAGATGTCCACGTGTATATAGTGATGGCTGTAGTCCAGATTAAACCTAGAAAAACGTAACATACCGGAACGGATGCTGTACAACAGCGCCTCCTGCTGGCTGACTGCCCAGGGTGCTGATGGGGTGGAACAGGCACACTCGAGGCATATGGGATTGATCACTGCACGGGTAAGCGATCACTCCACGTTGGGAGATAAAGGCATGAACCTGAACCCATGAGGAGGGTAGGGTGGGGTGGGGCGGGACAGACAGAGAGGGACTCAGCCGGCCCTGGACCGTGACAGCCAGCCACAGCTCAAACACACAGAAACCAGCAAGAAACAAACAGCCTCTCTGTTTTTAAAATTGGTCAATGGGGGCTTTTACTCCCTCCCAAGCAAGCCAGGATGAGCCGCTTGGACTGCCAGCTCTGGCCCCAACCACAGATGTCCTGAAACTCCTCTGCATCCAAGGACTGGGGCCGCACAATTCCCACTTAAAATCTAGCCTGGAAGGAACAGATGTGCCATCTCCTACCAACCAATTCCACTGCTGTTTGCGAGTTACCGGGGGGGCGGGGGGGGCACGCTTGCTGGCACCTTAGCAGACCTGGATGCTGAAGCCAAGGCCAGCACAGCCCCGTGTACAACTTGTAGAAAGATGCATTCCCTTCTGCCTTCCCACCAGATCCTACACAGGAGCACTGAAGGAACCTCAGCCCAGGCCACACGGCATCTGAGTTGCATTTTTTTTCCCCACAAACTGTAGTTAAACTGGGAGCAGGCAAGGGATCAGTCTGCCTTCCTCCTGTTACAATGAAGGTCTCACGTTTATTCTGTATGTTACACGCAAACACACATTCCGTTTCATGTGGGTTTAGAGTAAGCAAATGTGACACAAGTAAAACAAACACCACAGCTAGGGTCCACCACAGCCAAATGCGGAAATATTTAAAGGTACTTATGTTCATTCTTTAAAAAAAAGTAAAAATTGAGGTGGGGGGTTAGAGGTAATGTCCAGAGTCTGGACTAGAACCAACCACAGATCAAGCAGCTATTATGCACATTGACCACACACTCTTACCACACACTGCGAATTGCTGTTCCCATAGCGCGCAGCACACTGCTGTTCTATTCATGGGCCTCCACTCTGCTGCCTGATACGCCACAGTTGTGACCTGCTGTAACCCTGCGCAGTTCAGTCCCAGCATCTTACCATTCAGACTCACAATGCCTCAAGACTCATCGTATTTCCAGTCCCGAGCCTCTTCTGACCTCAAATCGCTCATCACAGCACCTTGGCACAGTGAGCTTCCACCCATTTGTTGCTACATACATCCCCCACCGCTGGAGTTGCCTGCCATTAAAGCCCGTTTCAAAGCAGCTCAGCATTGAAATAGCAAAGGAAGCAACAAAAGTGGACAAATTCAGCAAGCTCTGAATTGCATTTTCAACAGCATAGTTGCACATAGGCAGAATCTGAAATAAGGAGTCTGTTCTTTATCACCCTAGGGAAGTCCAGCTTCTGCAAGGAGCCACCCAATCCATGGCAGCTGCACAGGCAGGTGGCTGCATTTCCCAGAAGTGCAAAGTCTCTAAACACAGAGCAAAAAGTGGCAGTCATAAGGTTCATGGCCTTGACCATCCATCCCAGCTCACAGAAACTGAATCCCTTCACTTCTGGATAGGCTGTGACACGGTAGTTTTCACAAAGAGCATGAGACTCCACCACAGATCCTGTTCTAGTCGGCCTTGTCCTCGGCCTGAGAAAGCATGTTTTCCTTCATTTTAGCTGGATACTTTCTTTTGAAAAAGCCACACTAAAAAACAAAACAGCAAGAAGGGGATTAAAAATAGTCCTAGGTTCTCAGGAAGGTTGTGTGCATATGCTTATATAGACAGCTTTGCCATGAACTAAATTCTGAGTTTCTATCACTCAATTAAAGTTGCAACAAAGTCTATGAAAATTTAAAGAAGGGGTAATGGCCTCAGGTAACTCGATTATGATGCTCATGGTGCCCAAGGCACTTTACAGCCTGAAACACTTCAAACAGATACACTCAAGTAGACAAGGAACCACTTCCCTGCTATACTAAAATGCAGCCAAAACCTAGACTGGAACACGGCCGTCACTGAAGACAGGAAGTAAAGAGGAATATTGTATCTAGATGAAACCATGAAAGAAATTAAGAGGTTGCATGTAGCTGTTCAAATCAGAATTTGGCCAGGACCTGACACTAAGTGTGAACCCAGCTCCCAGACTTGTTGTTTGTTTGTTTAAAACAAGTTCAGGCTCAAGGAACCCTTAAACACTTAACAATTCTTTTTCTGGAAAAGATGGAAGGAAGAGCCCCAAAGGTCAGGCACTCCACGTCCTGGTTAAACGCAACTGAGCAGTCATGGCTGCGTTGCTGCATTGCTGAGGTCACAAGAGGAACAAGGACTGTGCTAAGCTTTGTTGAAGACACAGCAATGGGAACACTTACCTTGCAAAGGATACCAATAATGAAAGCCAACAAGAGAAATCCACCAATGGAGCTTCCGATGACAACAGGTAAGATCTGGAGTTTTTCCTCTTTCAAGAAGACAAGAGTGATCTAGAATGAGAGAGAGGTTTAGCATGCGATAAGTTATCTAGTTTCAGGAGATGTGAATTCAAGATAACTTTGTTACTCCATCTAATACCCAACCTTCAAATACTAGACTGGACAAGGCTGAAGACAGTGTGGACTTGAGAAGAGGCTGAAGCAGCAGCATGCAAAGCAGCTGCTAACAACAGAAGGAAGTCATAAAAGACTAGAAAAGCAAGTCAAGAAAACTCACTCATCTTGCTTAACAAATCTCTGGGAACAGCAATTGCATCAACATCCCTTAATAATAACCGTGACAATGTATATCTCGTCTGCACTAGGAAGGAAGACGTACAGTTAACACATTAACCAACACACACTGAAGTCCTAGCAGGGACAAGACCTTGTCGTTTGCAATGTGTTATCAAAGTCAGTCCTAAAGGGGAGCCTGCACTACGGCAGGGACACTTACAGGAATAGTACATCTGTGCAAGGGGGCGGACGAGACGATCCCCGAGGTCCCTTCCCACCCCACAATTCTGTTGACAGAATGATGCACCATTACCTAGAGCAGTAGTGGTACATTTTGCCCCTCATATTTACCAAACCAGTGGGGGGCAGATTCACTAAGGTGAGCAGCAGGGAACTCGAGTGCTGCTCCTCCAAGAGGGAAAGGCTGCTTGCCTCATTTGGATGCATCTCCTCAGTCTTCCTGGGAGGTTCCTACACTTGCCTGCTGTTCCTGAGGCCTCTATAGGGCTCCCCTTTCTACAGTCATTTACACCTAGAAGTTTCTTTTGGAGAGATGGGTGTTCTCTGCACTACTGCAAATCCAGGAGGCATTGCACCAGGCAGAGAACACCCCAGTGTGCACTAGTGCACACGCCTCCCGTCTCCTTTGTCCTCGCTGTGATCCAGATCCCTGTTCTGCTGAAATCAGTGGGTAAGGGATTTGGCCCTACTAAATCACACAGCTTTAGAAGTTCAGCACAATGAGCTGCATTCTCCTCTTCACTGCTATCCTGGGAAAGGGTCTCAGCTGCCTACACAGAGCTTGCATACCTCTGCTTTGTGGTTCTCTTCTTTCAGGCCCACATACAGCTGTCTGTCAAAGGTGATTTCTCCAGTGACCAGCAGGTCAGTTCTGGCTTTCAAGAACTATGGAGGAGGGGAGAAAAAGATAAAGCACTACAATTTAGATCCTGCCAGGTTTTATGAGAAAAAGTTACCATAAGGGTCATATGAATACAAAGTGACCCCTCCTAACCTCTTCCACAAATGTAGTGCTTTTCCAGATGGAGATCTCTGCTGCATCAGTCAGCTCTTTTTGTACGCTAATATGCTGGTACATGTTCCAGCCTCTACAGGAGCCCTGACTGACCCAGACCCCAGACTCTGCTTGCAGCCAACATGCCCAGAACTTGCAGCTCTAGCTATAGGGTCTAAGGAACCATTCCAGCCTAGCTGAAACCCTTCCTTCTCACAAGGGCATACAACTCACATAGCGAGATGATGCGTAGACAAATCAATGCAGCACAGACAAGCACTCCATAAGCTACCGTTTTCTGGAGCTCTTAGGAGCCAAGTCTCTCCTGAGACTGGAAACACGATAAAAACCCCATGCTTACCCTGCAGTCAGGAAATATGCTCACGTGTGGAAGGATAAAATCTCTTTGGAGACGCTTATGAAATCTCTCATCCAAACCCTAAGAAAGCAGACTTTAGCAACCAAAGCCAGAGAAGTACAGGCAGCGCATACCTTGTGGGAATCAATTAATGGCAGTTCAGCAATCACAGTAATAGTTTCTCTGTCTGCAGTGAAAACACAGTGCACACACTGATACTTCACTTCCTCACTGACCTGGAAAAGAAAAAAGGTGTTAACTGAGAAATACATGGAGTGGAACAGATCTTTAATGTATGCAGAAGTTTCACTATTTCAATTTGCATGAAAGTAAATTTAAACCTTTCATGTTGCTTCTCTGTGAAACCTACAGTATGAAACAGTCACACTAGAAGCCTGCTTTGTGTGCACCACAGCTGCAACACTTGTCTGTTTCTCAAGACTGCACGCGATGAACTGCATTAGCCGTGTACACAGTTAATGTCCCTGCAGAGATGTGCCCAAGACAGCAGCCCTTAACACAGCCCCTCAGAGGCTGTCACTATCCTTGACTACTGAGAAAACTGAAGGGTCACATCCCAAGGACCCTGACAGACTTAGAGCCAGTAATCAGTAAGGCCCCTGCTAAACGCTACATGTATTGTGCAATTAACCAGTGAATCGCACAATAAATTTAGACCGGCCACACATCCAAAGCAAGGGTCACACAATTATCTGGTTAACTGCACAATAAGTTCAAACCAACCACACCACAACACAATTATCACGAGACAAAAATGATCCTCCAGTTATACAGAGCCAACCAGCTACAAAGTTAGTGCTTGAAATGGTGTAGCAACTCCAGAGCTGGTTTCTACCTCGCTTTCATTTGAAGGGGTAGCAGGGCCCTAATATACAAACCTGAGTTTCTAGGGCCCTGCCACCCCTTCAAGTGAAAGCAGGATAGAAACCAGCTCCTGAGTTGCTGCACGCTTTCAAGAACGGCTCTTTCTATAGTTCAACAGTCATTTTAATGGTGTGATAACTACTTTGTGGGTGTGGCCAGCCTACAGTTATTGTGCGATTCATCAGCTAGTTGCGTGTGCATTACTTTGCACCAGAGGCTGGTCTACATGTATTGCACAATTCATTGGCAAGTCGCGTGATCACTTACTCTGCCCCGGTGGCCAGTCTACATTTACGGCAGGACTCACCACCGAGTGGTGCAATCGTTACTTCGCACTGCAGGCCAGGCTACACTTACTTTGAGACTCGTCAGCAAGTCGTGTGATCGTTACTTTGCACCAGCTGCCCGTCTACATTTATTGCACGATTCGCTGGTGAGCCCTGTGGTCATTACTTTGCACCGATGGCTGCTCTATATTTATCACACAATTCACAGGCAAGTCCTGCAGTCATTACTTTGCAAGAGAGGCCAGTCCACATTTACAGCACGATTCATCAGCAAACCGCACGATCGTTATATTGCACTGGCAGCTGGTCTACAGTTAAGGCACGAGTCACCAGCAGTCATTAATTTGGTTCGCGTTCATGGCACGATTCAGTTAATGCTGCAACTGTTACTTTGCACCAGTCTACGGGTATGGCGCAATCGTTACTTCGCGCCAGGGGCTGGCCTGACTTTGCAGGTGCACTGGGTGTACATTTATGGTGCGACGAGCAATACGCGCAGCATGGAGCAGGGGCTGGTTGGGGCCCTCGGCGCAGCCGCTGGAGCAAGCCAGGGTTTCAAGGGTCCCCACGAGGCCACAGCTACCCCGGGACTTCCCGGCTGGCCCGCTCAGACGCTCACCTGCGCTCCTGCGGCGCGGGGAAGGTCCCACGGAGGCAGCGCCCAGGACTGGATGTGCCTGCAGACAGTTCCCAGCTACGGAGAGAGGAAGGCAGGTCGAGTTAGTGACCGCGATCCGAGCATATGACACCCCTCAGCACCAACATCCGGCGCACATTTATGACGCGCGCGGAGCGACTCGCCTCCCGGAAGCACCGGGGCGAGACTTGGCGGGCGGCTCTCGCGAGAGCGCGTTTGAAATGATGGCGGCAGGCGGGCGGGCGCGGCTGCTGCGCACCTACGCGCGGCGGTG